ATATCCTGCATTCCTGATTTCCTGTGCTCCTTTGGCTCCAGGACTTGTTCCTGTATGGCGCTGGAAGGGTTACATGAGGAAATGGTTTTCAATAATCATAGTTGTTATTTTTAGAACTAGCTTTTGTATGGAAGTGCGGTTGAGTAAATTCCCTTTTATTTTTTTCTCATGTAACTGATTTTTATCTTTAAATCCTTATGTAACTGACATCTTTCACAATGTTGGAAATTGTTTTTCCATTCGATTCCAATTTTTTATTAATGAATTAGGCATATAAGTCTATGATTCTTTGTGCTTGCTTCCTGTAAAGGTGTGTTTAGATATCCGAGTCTTCAGTTTGCTGCACCACATTGCATGATACTATGTTCTGTTGACAAAAAGCTCCCTAATTATATGCCTTCTAATTTTATTCTTGATTTTTTATAGAAAATTTAGAACAAATTCAACTAAGAGGAGCGGTAAGAAGTAGTCAAGACACCAACCCAACTAAAGTGCTGCTACAGCTGTTATAATTGATACCATTTCCAAGTCAGGGTTTGTTTCCCCTGCCTATCTCAATCCAATCTGACTCTTTACCTTTGTGAATGTAACCTCCAAGAAATTTTGATTTTAAACATATTTCACACGAAGACGAGAAACAAAAAAGTTTTTCTCTAAGTAATGCAAAGGTTTTGAATTGAAATTATTTCTTTCCTTGGGACCAACCTAGATTTTAGCTCTTACTATATCAAGAGGTTTAGATATACTGCAATAATATTCATAATAAAAAACGGCAATCAATCATACCATCACTCTAATTGAGTAAAAGGTTATAAATAATTATATTTACATTATAAAATATTTAAGTCTTAATAGTTTTTTTTTTTAAAATATAATACAAATCTTTATAGAACTTTAACTTATAATTCGAACTTTAACTTACTGATGGAACTGGATGCCTTGTAGCATCCGTGTTTGGTAAATGTGCTGAACAACTATTACTCTTAACTAGCAAACAAGTTATACAATTAGAACAACATGTACTGCTCCTCTTCCAACCACAACCACTCATGTTTTACAGTAAATTAACCTATGACTAACTACGTATATCAATAACCGCTTACAAGATCAAGAATATATAATACAATTGAGGTCTCAATCCTATACACACAAGGCAAAAACATGGTATCATATACCATAACATAATTGCACGAATCATTCTCATTCACTACCACCAGTAAACAAGATGCAATAAAGACACAACCAGCAAAAAGGAAACTCAACTTCACTAAAGATGAAGAAGATGAAGACAATTCCGAGTCTCAACAAACTCGCACTAAGAAAAATTAATTTACTTTGCTCAAATTACTCTTTTCATGATAGATAGTCAGCTTTAGTTAGTGGTTTATTTGTTTTTACTTACTTTAGTTATAATTTAGCTATTTCGAATTTCATTATCTTTTTATTAAAATATACGCACCAAGACTATTTCTTTATCCTTTATTAATTTCACATTTTTCTCTCTTATTATATGAATACTTTAACCAATTAAGAAACACTAATTTATAAATACACATTGGGCATTGGTCTAATCGCGCAAAGCGCGTATAATAACTAGTTTAGATAATAAAGAAAGAAATAAGCATTGAAGATGGTAATTTAATGCTCTTGAGCCCAAAAGTTAATATAAAAATTAGAGAAAAATATGCACAAATGAGAATCTATCACTATAATATTCACAATATATATTTGATATATATATATATATATATATATATATATATATATATATATATATTGTATTTAATGGTTATGTCATATGTGAACATTTGATAGTGATTTTACTATTTTAGTAGGAAAAAATTTATTTTTTTATAAATAATAAATACTAAAATTAAATGCGCAAATGACATCAAATCATTATATTCGGACGAAATTAAGCTATTAAGTCATAACACATTGATAGTGAATATTTCCCGAGTTTGACCTCCTTATACGCTCCATGCCCCTGTTCGATAGTCGGATCAGAGACAAGTGTTCGGGTCAAAGTCAATTAGTCAACATTTGAGCCTATATTAAGGCCCTCCACTCACAAGCCAAGCGAGGCCCTTTGATCTTCTCTCTCTAGAGAACACTTAGACAATTACTCTCAATTATCTCTAGAGTATTCAATAAAAAAGCTTCTTTAAGCTTAATAATGGCCTTGATATTCTCTTTACATTTCTCATTCACATTTTATATACGCAGAGTACACTGAACAAATTAGTACTATCCCACATTATTAGTAGGCACTGGCTAGTCGTCTACCGTATTACCATAATCGGTGATTTAGGCGGCCGACTTAGCCGTCTAGGTTTCCTAGGCACTGACTAGGTCACCTAACCAGCCGATTAGCTATTGTTCATTTCTTTTTTTTTTTTTTTAAATGTGTTATTCACTCAAAACGACATTATTTTGAGCGAAATAATCTTAAATTGTTCAAACTCTATATATTTTTTAGGATAATATTTAATATTTTAGTATTAACTATTAAAGTATTAAATAATTTATAATTATCTTTTTGAAAACAAATAATTTATAATTATTGATTTTTAAAAATTTTAAACAAAATTTTAAAAAATAAAAAATACATAGACACTTAGGGGTCAATTAATCACCGCTTAGGCGCTAGGCACCCCTGAACGCCTAGCAATTTTTCAAGCATGATGATTAGTTATGGACTATATATATCAACTGTAGTGTAAAACTCTTATGTAATACGGCTCAATTGACAATATAGAGTTTTATTGAATTGAATACAAAATGGTATGAATGTATGGATCTGAAAGCTATCCCAGAAAATGGGGGCAGCTAACAACTTATTTTAAATGACAATTTTATCCCTAATCTCACGCAAAAATCTTGATTACACATCTCCACAAAATTGGTATTCCCTCCAAACAATATTTCGCCTCCATGTTGAGCGCCAAACCAGCACGATTTTACCAAAATCTCCCCAATACCCCACAACTTTTAACCCCTCCTAGGCACCCATGTGCTCTCCTCTTAATCCACATAAAGAGGGCGCTCTCACAGTGTCGCTGATAAGATTCGATTCTTGATATTTTATAATAAATTTTACATCTGTAATTAGTTGAGATGTTTATACAAGCCAAAAATTAGTATTAATCCTCCTCAATAACTCGTACATACTTACAATTTTATATCATTTCGATCAAGCTCGTTGAATAAGGTATTTGCAGTGTGGTTTATTTATCTTATCTAATTTATGCGCTATTACACATGAATGTAGTTTATCTTGTATGTATTCTCGAGTAGTGGCAATAAATTATTCTTGATATATATATATATATATATATATATATATATATATATATATGAATGAATGATTATAAATATTTTGTAAATGAGTTAATGTCATAAGGGTCATTCGAATATAGTGATTTTGTCACGTTTAGTAATAAAATTTCAGATTGACCACGCCTGATCTTTCGACTTTCAAATTGTTATCTGTGGTCCAAGCTAATCACCCATGATCCTTCAACTTTTAAAATTTAACCAGTTGTGGTCCTCCTAGAAGGATCATGTCTGGTTAAAATTTAATAGTTGAAGGACCATGGGTGATTAATTTGGACCACGGATTGTAACAATTTGAAAGTCGAATGACCACGAGGAGTCAATTTAAAAGTTTAGAACTAAACGTGGCAAAATCACTATATTCGAATGACCTTAGATGGTATTAACTCTTTTGTAAAAATACAGACATTTTTGTTAAATAATAATCATTTTAAAATTTCATTTTTATAAAGTTTTAACTCGTAAAAACACCTTTCAAAGCTATCTTTGATGGATGGAATATAGAGTTCGTTAATTAGTTATATGAATGTGGTGTGGATATTAGTGCAATAAGAAAAAAAAAAGATGACAAAAATTTTATTTTCAATAAATAAAAACTTTGCTTTCGATGTCTTATTGAAAGTAAAAGTGAAAGTAATGAGACAACAAAGGTGAATAACACATTTATTTTGCATGACTTAATTAGTTAAGTTATATGAGAATTACATTTTTTGGTATTAAATTATAAGTAAATACTCCGTAATATTTTTATCAATCAATTATACTCGTTTATGAATTATAGGGAATTAATATTTTTTGTCTTTTAATTATACCCATTTATGAATTATATAGGACTAATATTTTTTGTCCACAATTATACATGTTTATGAATCATAGCTAACAAATGTTTTTTTTTTTGTTTCTCAATTATACTTATTTCTAAATTAAAGAGAATTAACTTTTATGTCCTGAATTATACCCGTTTTGTTGATTATAGAGAATTAACAATTTTTATCCCTCAATTATACCTGTATTTTTTTGAAAGCCAATTATACCTGCATTTGAATTATAGGGAATTAACAAATTTTGTCCCTACATTATATCCATTTATATAAAGAGAATTAATATGTTGTTGTCATTCAATTATACCTGCTGCAATTTTTTTTTTTTGTTTTGTTTCATAATTGTATGTAAAGTAAATTTTCCCCTACAATTTGTTAAGTTATGTTAAAAAAGCCACTTAATAGAAAATTAGTGGATGAAAAAAATAACTTCATAGTGAAAAATTGCTAAGGTATAATTGAGAGGAGAAAAATATAATTTTTTAATAATTTAGGGATGAGAAGGGTAATTTTTTAATTTATAATTTGATTATTATTATTATTATTATTATTTTATGATGATAATAATAATAATGCGTTATACATATTTATAGACGGCGATTTTTGTTTTGTTATGTTTTTTTTATTATCCAGAAATTTAATTTTTACTAATTAATCTTATTAATTTGGTAAATTGAACCATATTGGCATGCATCAGTTTCTGGGGAAGAAGTAGCAACGGACAAGGGTAACTAACGTAAATTCACAGGTTTTTATCTTAAATCCCAAAATAACCTTTACAGACCTATAAAACGAGAAAACGGGAATTAAAATAAAAAAAAAAAAAGGAAGAAAATTATATTTACAGGGAAAGGGAGATTCGTCATCAGCTATTCTTCTTTCTCTTTCTCTCTCTCTCTCTCTCTCTCTCTCTGAATCAAGAAACAATCTTTCGATCCAGCGCGCGTCTTCTCTCTGCGTTTTTTCTTTCTCTTCTCTCTCTCTCTCTCTCTATCTCTTCGAACTGTGCGATTCGACTTGGACTCAGCTCGGACTCGGACTTGACTCGGTCGTCAATCTCTCGACTCGCCGGGAGCTTCGCCAATTTCACTTGTAAGCCTTCATCTCCAGATTCAAAACCCTAGTTTCCCAATTGCGTTTATTTTCGTGTGCGTAGTTTAGCAATTGAATTGGATTTTTTCATGTTTAAACCCTACATTATTGGGGACCGGATTTGGATTTTGATGTGCTTTGTTTACGATGGATTTCTAGGGTTTTCTAGCGGAGGAGAGTTGGGATTGGTGAACTGGAATTCTCGCGTGGAAGTATGAGCATCTTCAGCCCTGGCGAAGGAGGAGACAATTCGTAGGGTTTGGTTTTGCCGGGTTTCGGGGGAGGGATAACTCTGACCTCTCCATGGGCAATGGCGGAGTTGCATGTGTGCCTTCGCAGCATATCATGGACCGTTTTTCGACTTGTAGAAGCAAAAGCAATGGCACCAACAACAACAACAAAAAATTCACTTCATCTACTACGCCTTCAAAGCTCGTGAAGGCTAATGCGAAAATGAAGCCACATAAAGAAAAAGGAGGTGGGGAATTGAGTGGGAAAAGTGAAAGTAAAGAAGTTGAGAGTAATGGTGATGCTGTGAGTGATGAAATTGAGGAGGGTGAACTTGGTACCTTGCCTGTTGAGCATGAGGTCCTGGTTTCTGAGAACCCAGTTCAGCGTAAATATGAAATAAGGAGTGAAATTGAGAAGGGAGATGTTGTGGTTGACAAGTGGAGAAGAGGAGGGGAGGCTCAGAAGAGTGAGTTTGCCAATGGGAAATGGCGGAAGGGAATGTCTAGAAGGAGCGAGGTAGATAAGAATGACCGTGGCTATGAATTGGAGAAAGGTGAGTTTGTACCTGATGATAGGTGGCGAAAAAGCGAAGTCCTTGCAAAGGATGATTACAGCTATCCAAGGCCACGCAGGTATGATACCTTGAAGGACAAGGGTTGGAAGGGGGAGCTTGAATGGACACCACCTCCTACTACCAAGGACAAGGGATTGAGAAATGATTGTGAGTGGACGCCACCTTCTGATAAGTATTCTGGTGAGAAAGAATTCAATAAAAGTGGCGGGGTTCAGCATGGGAAGAGGTCTTCCAGATATGAATCTAACTGCATCCAAGAGAGGAATCCACGGATCAGCTCTAAAATTGTGAACGAGGAAGCTTCCTTCAAGAATGAGCTCAGCAATGGCAAAACGCATGCAAGAGAATACTCATCTGGCAATCGTCTAAAGCGTCATGGAACTGATTCAGACAGCAGTGACAGAAAATACAGGGGTGAGTATGATGACTACTCAAGTTCTAAATGCCGCAAACTTTCTGATGATGGCACTCGTTCTACATACTCAACAGAGCACTATTCACGCCGCTCTGTGGAGAGATCATACAGAAATGCTTCTTCTGGTCGAGGCTCTGCCTCTGAGAGGCATTCCTCCAGAAATTATGATTCATCTAGAGTAGCCCGTGATAAGAATAATGAGAGTCCACATCATTCTGAGAGGTCCCCACACAGCCGGACCCGCCACCTTGATTACCGGGATCGGAGCCCTGCTCGCCGTGATAGGTCTCCATACCATCGGGGTCATCATGATGATAACAGCAGATCTCCATATGACCGCAGTCGTCATTTTGATCAAAGGAGGAGCCCCAGTTATTCGGAGTGGTCCCCACAAGATCAAGCTCGATATAATGATCGTAAGGACAGGAATCCTAATTTCCTGGAAAGGTCCCCACGTGATCACGGTAGGTCCAGTAGTTATAGGGAAACATGTTGGAAAAGTGGGGCAAGCGAGAAGCGAGAGAGTCATGTTGAAGGTAAACAGCAAGAGGAGAAGCCTAGCCCTAAGGATCCCAGTGGAAGAGATGAAAATGTTTCTGTGAAAGATTCTGAAGATAGAAGCTATCCAGACAACAATATTGGCTCAACTGACAAATCTACTGTGCAACTGATCCAAGGGGAAGAATCACCTCAATGTCCTGTAGTGGGTACCGTGGACTCTCTGATGGAAAATGGAGTTGTGGAGGAGGTTGGTTCCATGGAAGAAGACATGGACATATGCAATACACCACCACATGCCCCTGTGGCTGCAGATGCAGTGTTGGGAAAGTGGTACTACCTAGATCAATTTGGTGTGGAGCAAGGACCTTCGAATTTATGTAACCTGAAAACACTTGTGGAAGAGGGCTTTCTTGTATCTGATCACTTCATCAAGCACATAGATAGTGAGAGGTGGGTAACTGTTGAAAATGCAGTTTCCCCAATAGTGAGTGCTAATTTTCCCTCAATTGTTTCAGAAACTGTGACCCAATTGGCCAGTCCTCCTGAGGCTCCTGGTAATATCTTGGCAGATAATGGTGAATTATCACAAACTGGCTTCCAGCCTAGTGAATACACGATTGATAAAGTTTCAGTGCCAGCATTGTGCTCTGTAGACAGTCTCACTGCATCTCATTCTTTTGAAGATCTTCATATTGATGAAAGGGTTGATGCATTACTAAAGGGTATTACTGTTATCCCTGGAAGGGAACTTGAGGCTGTTGGAGGTGAGTAATTTTTTTTTTTTCTTTTGGTATTATTCTGCATATATCATCTTTATTCTGTGACATCTGTTCTTAGACTTTCCATCTTCATTCTTCTTCTTAATTTCTTCTCCTTGTTCTCCTGTTGTCACACAGAAATGCTGAAATTGAGTTTTGAGCATGGAGAATGGGAGAGATGGAGTGGTATTGAAGGTACTTCATTTTCTGGTTATCTTGGTTTTATACATCTTTTTGGATTACCAGTTTTCAGTTCATTATAATTGACTTATTTGAAACATGCACAGGTTTCACTTGGCACCAATCTCATATAGGCGACTACTCTGATGATAGAAGTGGTGAGGGTGTGTCTGAGTCTTTGCCAAAAGAACCCGCAGAATTGAGGCCCTCTTTGGCAGCATTATCTGATGTAGATAATGTATTTTCCTACACTGACATTGATGAGTGGTTTTCTGGACACTGGTCATGCAAGGGTGGCGATTGGAAGAGGAATGATGAAGCTTCTCAAGACAAATCATGGAAAAAGAAACTTGTTCTAAATGATGGGTATCCTCTTTGCCAGATGCCCAAATCTGGGAATGAAGATCCAAGATGGCACGAAAAGGATGAATTGTATTATCCTTCACAGAGCCGGAGGCTTGATCTACTTTCCTGGGCTTTTACCTCTCCAGATGAGTGGAATGATTGTAACCCTGCAACCAGATCTGCTCAAATTAAGCCTGCCAGTCTTAGGGGTGTGAGGGGAATGGTCCTTCCTGTAATCAGGATAAATGCATGTGTGGTTAAGGACCATGGCCCATTTGTGTCTGAGAGCCGCACAAAGGTTAGAGCAAAGGAAAGATTTCCTCCCAGGTCTGCCCGGCCATATTCGGTGAGTCGTGATTCAAAGGGGTTATCTGAAGAAGGTTTTTCTTGCAAGAACATGCAAGAAACAGATTCACATGGTACCCACAAGAGTATCTTGCCCTTGAGTATACCAAAAGATCACATTTGCACAGCTGATGAGTTGCATTTGTCAATTGGTGATTGGTACTACCTTGATGGTGCTGGGCATGAAAAAGGGCCTTTTTCATTTTCGGAGTTGCAGGTATTGGTTGATCAAGGTGTCATTAAGAAACATAGCAGTGTCTATAGAAAAGTAGATAAGATTTGGGTTCCAGTTAGTTTTTGTGTTGAGACTCATGATCAGTTGAAGGTTCGCCAAAAGAATCATGCAAAGTCAAAGGACATTTCTGGAGCCACCCTTTCAAAGTTGAATGATATGGTAGGTGGAAGCAGTGGTGTTTTGAGTACATTTCATGCTCTGCATCCCCAGTTCATTGGGTTCACTCAAGGTAAACTCCACGAGTTGGTAATGAAGACTTACAAGAGCAGAGAGTTGGTTGCTGCTATTAATGAGGTCTTAGATCCCTGGATCAGTGCTAGGCAACCAAAGAAAGAGTTGGAAATCTTTCAGAAATCAGGTATGCACTCTGTCTCTTTATGGCCTTTTCTTCATTCTATGAAGTTATTTTTTGTGGACATTATTGCAGCTCTTTTCATCTTTACCATACCTCATAAATAGCTTGAAAAGGAACAATTTCTTTAATTTTAGTTCCTGTTCTGATCCACTGTGACTATTGGTTACTGAATAACCTTCTTTCCCTTGTGTTGGGGGCATGTTATTTATTTATTTATTTATTTATTTTTGCCATTATCCCAGATCAATTTCGTGCTAACAAAAGAGCCAGGATTGATGGAAGTGAAGACGAGTATGAATTGGATGATGATATATTAACCATTAAAGGGGATGAATGCCCATTTGAGGATTTATGTGGCAATGCAACATTCAACAAAGATACAAGTACTGAGTCCCAACTTGAAAGGCAGAGCTGGGGGTTGCTTGATGGTCATGTACTTGCTAGGGTGTTTCATTTCCTTAAAGCTGATATAAGATCTCTTGTTTATGCTGCTTCTGCTTGTAAACACTGGAGATCTGTTGTAAAGTTCTACAAGGACATCTCAAAGCAGGTTGACTTGTCTTCTGTTTCTCCCCACTGCTCAGATTCCATGATCAGCAGCGTAATGGTAATTTCTTCTTTCATGACACATGCTCACACATATCTATACATTTTTTTAATCCCCTTATGTCTGATTCGCAGCATAGACAAGGAATTAAGTTTCAGTAATTACTTTTTTGCTTATTCTTTTAAATAGTATCTTATAATTTTTAAACTTGGCCTTTTGTGATTGGTATAACTTTTTGTGGTTTCTAAATATATAAATTTTATTAGCTAATTGTAAGATAACTTGATTCAAGATTCATTAACTGAACCGGACACATAAAATGGGACTGAGGGAGTATAGTATATCTGCTTCTTTTTTTTTTTTTTTTTTTTTTTTGAACCCTTCATTATTTATATTAATCTGTGTGTGTTTCTGTATGTATATATGTTAGTTTAATGGGGACTTTGGTTGTATCACTAATATTCCTTTTCTGTTTCTTAATTCAACAAAATATGGAATATTATTCCTTATGTATCCTTAAACAAAACTAAAGAATGGAATAGCATTCAAACTCCATTCCTTCTCTATCTGATTCTTTTTGGAGTCCTATTACCATCCGTTCTGCTTTCATTCCATGAACCAAATGGGCTGCTAGTGACAGATGAACTTGGAGGGTTTTGATTGCTTGTTCAGGTTCTTTGTTTCATTTGAGACTAATCTACTTTTCTTGTTTTCAGAATGGTTATAATGAACAGAAGATTAATTCCTTGGTTCTACGTGGCTGCACCGCTATTACCTCTAGTATGCTTGAGGATATTCTTCAGTCATTCTCCTCATTATTGACTATAGATATTAGAGGTTGCTATCAGTTTGAAGATTTGTGTCTTAAATTTCCAAATATTAAATGGATCAGAAGCCAGGGTCAAAGTTTGAAATTAAAATCCCTCAAGAATTTGGCTGAGACATCATCTCGCATAGATGAGTCAAGTGGGCTTAGAGACTATTTGGAAAGTTCAGAAAAGAGAGACTCGGCCAATCAGTTATTCCGTCGAAGCTTGTATAAACGTTCAAAAGTTTTTGATGCAAGAAAGTCCTCTTCCATCATGTCCCGAGATGCCCATTTGAGGCGCCTGGCAATGAAGAAGTCTGAAAATGGTTACAAGAAAATGAGGGAATTTCTTGCTTCAAGCCTGAAGGAGATAATGAAAGAAAATGCCTTTGACTTTTTTGTTCCAAAGGTAATTCTCAATCTGTTTTTCTGCAAGTTGAAACTTGCATTATAATGCTATTCTTACCCTTCCTTTTGGTCCCTCCAGGTTGCAAAAATTGAAGAGAGAATTAAGAGTGGATACTATGGCATCCATGGGCTGAGATCTGTCAAAGAAGATATTAGTCGGATGTGCCATGATGCACTAAAGTAAGTTGCTCATATTCAAAGTTTTTTAATGCAAAAAGTGCAGCTAACTAGCTAAGCAAGAGTGATATGGTTCTGCCTTTCTTTAAAGCTCAAAGCGGGACACAAAATGGCAAAATTAAATTTTATAATCTAGAATGATATATAAATGGTTTATAATGCAAAATTTAAGACATGCTACAGGTGACATCATTTTATTACAATCCATGCATATTCCATCCTTAATCGTCTATTTATATCTCCATTAAGCAACTTAATGATTGCTTTTGACAAGTGTACAAAATTCTACAATTAACTAATAAAAAAATAATCATATTATCATAATATTTCATTATTCATCAGTCATTAATATTTTTCCAAACACAAGTGTCATTTTGAATACATATTAATGAAGCATCATAGTTAGTACATTCTCTAAACAAAACATATTGAATGCATTAATTAATTAAGTTTTAATTTATTTAAAAAAAAAAACATTGTCTGGAGTGTGGAAAGCCCCACTGCCCACTCTTTGTGAGTGGGCAGGAGAGACGAAGAGTGAACAGAAGCAAACAATGAAGAAAGAGAGAAAGAAAAGCACAGCGATGAACAACAGAGAATAATGGAGTCATGTGCAACCAACAAAGAATACCTGATTTGTGAACTTTGAATGTTGTTGGCCATTGGAAACTTAAATTGGAGCCTATAGGTTTCTTCCTAAGGTGTGGGTGACCTTAGGTGAAGTAATTTTAAGTTTTAACCCCAAATTCCTCAAAATTTGTGTTGAAATCACACAATGTATAAAAGTGTGCTTTGCACATCACTAGCTTTGGACTGAAGTGGTCACTTTGGTCCACTTTCATATATTGCTGCACTTTGTTGAATTGAGACAATAAGCCTTTGATTGCTTAAGTGAGGAAGTGGTCACTTTTGACAAGTGAGCTCATTTATTGCATTTTTTTTGATGTGTTAAATTCTTTCTTTTTGATTGGTGTACTTGGAATTCATGTATTACTCTATTTATTTAATGCTCTTCAAATTCAAGAATTCTAGACCTCTCCTCACCTTTTATTCTGTTGGTTCAGAGTGAAAAATCGGGGTGATTCCAAAGGAATGAATCGCATTATTGAGTCATTTATATGTCTTGCTACGAGGTTGGAAGAAGGTCCAATATCATTTTATAGACACGAGTCACCAAGAACATCAAAGGATGGCTCACCTCCAGGGTTCTCATCCACTACTTCGAAGTATAGAAAGATTCTCAATAAAGCCAGTGAAAAGAAGTACAGTAACGGTAGTAATGGACCTAACTTCGTTAATGGTGTATCTGACTATGGTGAATATGCTTCTGATCGAGAAATAAAAAGGCGCTTATCTAAGCTGAATGTAAAATCATTACGCTCAGGGAGTGAAACATCTGATGGTTTCGACCAATCTTCTGATGAAAGCATGACTGATAGTGAGAGTTCTGCTTCAGAAACAGAAAGTGATTTGGAACTACGATCAGAAGGTGGGACTTTGGAATCTAGAGGAGACACATATTTTACTTTAGATGATGGCTTTGATTCCTTCGTTGATGATCGTGAATGGGGTGCTCGAATGACTAAGGCAAGCCTTGTTCCTCCGGTTACTAGGAAGTACGAGGTCATTGATCATTATGTTGTTGTAGCTGATGAAAAAGAAGTAAAAAGAAAGATGCTTGTTTCCCTACCAGAGGATTATGACGAGAAGCTTAATGCCCAACGGAACGGCATAGAGGAGTCTGATATGGAAATTCCTGAAGTCAAGGATTATAAACCTCGAAAGTGTCTTGGGGATGAGGTGATAGAGCAGGAAGTATATGGGATTGATCCCTACACTCACAATCTTCTGCTTGATTCCATGCCAGAGGAATCTGATTGGCCTCTCCTTGATAAACATATATTTATAGAAGATGTGCTTCTACGAACTCTGAACAGGAAAGTTAGGGACTTCACAGGTAGTGGCAACACTCCTATGATTTATCCTCTGAAACCTGTCTTTGAAGTGATCCTTGAAGAAGCCGAGGGAAATCAGGACAAGAGAACTGCAATACTATGCCAGGTCATCTTGAAGGCAATTGATAATCGTCCCCAGGACAATTATGTTGCTTACAGAAAGGTGAGATGCTTAAATTATAGTGAGTGGGTTTGCTACGTCATTCTTGACAATATTAAAATCTTTAAAGAACTTACTGAGATGTGTTAAGCAGGGACTTGGAGTGGTTTGCAACAAAGAAGGTGGCTTTAGCCAGGAGGATTTTGTTGTTGAGTTCCTTGGAGAGGTAATGATGCATGAACTTGATTTCGATGGAATTTTCTTTCTTAGTATGATTAATGTCCTTATTCAATGTTTTGTCATTTACTATGCAAACGTCAGCCTTCCATGTTGGTTCTTTCCCCTATAAAATAATGCTTGCTACTTAGAGAAAATGTATATGAAAAAAGAATAAAAGATATGTGAACTCATCTTCTCTCATAATGTGACTTGTTATGATACTTAATTTTTTATGCTGGCAGTTCATAACAAATTATTTTCCAGGAAATCTATCCATCCTGTAATTAGTTTCAACTTTGTTATTTCAATTTGACCTATCATGCTGTTGTATATGCTCACTAGAAATCATTAGCCCTTTATTTCTGGGTTAATGTTTTTGGGACCTTCTCAAAACATTAAATAGAACTTGTGATTTCTAGGACAAGGGAAAGAGACACTGGTTTGCTTTAGGAACATTTCTAACCTACATGCATCTTCTCCCTTATTCTCTCAATGGATTGGTGGAATACAGTGAAAAATGTATTAGATGCCCCCTGCCTCTAGGTTCTATAACCTTTTCTATCTTGGGGGTGGCATATTTTGCTCAATGATTGTTATTTTCAGAATTTTCTGATATTCTCCTATATATTTTTGTGCATAGAAATCAACCAATATCACTAGAGCTTCAATTTTGTAAAATTATGTATACCTCCAAATTTTTATTTTGCTATCATTTTTATCTTTTCTCTTGTTTTGCTCCATGCTGGATGATATATGGTGGTTCTGTGATTTTATGCTCTGTTTCTTAACTTTTTATTGTCCCAACCATTATAGGTTTATCCTGCATGGAAGTGGTTTGAGAAGCAAGATGGCATCCGATCATTGCAGAAGAATAACAAAGATCCTGCCCCAGAATTTTACAACATATATCTCGAAAGGCCAAAGGTACTTCTAGATATGAAATCCTGTGATTGGGAATTACTTATATTTGTCTTTTCTCTCTCTCTCTCTCTCTCTCTCTCTCTCTTATTTGTGCTTTGTTTTGCTATTGTGGAATGGCTTCAAGGTATTATCATTTTTTGCTTTATAGGGTGATGCTGATGGGTATGATCTAGTTGTTGTCGATGCAATGCACAAGGCAAACTATGCAAGCCGAATTTGTCATTCATGTAGACCTAACTGCGAAGCAAAGTAAGTGGATATACATGCATCATATCCATCTTATTGTTAGTAGGAGTTGGACTATCTTGCTTATGATAAAGAAAAGTTGTGGCTATGTGGTGCATTCAACATTGTAACTTAAAACTTGTATGATATAATCTTTGGCTAGAGAGAGGTGTTATGTGAGCTCTTGCATTCCTCTTGTTTATATTAATTGACAAGGAAAGGGAGGCCTTCTTTTATTTACTTTTCCTGGCGATAATATTTTATTGCGTGTGTTAAGTTGGGAAATTGACCAATTAATGCCTTCAATTTTACTTTTAAAATGAGCAGAGTAACTGCTGTTGATGGTCAGTACCAAATTGGAATTTACACTGTGCGCCCAATAGCATTTGGTGAAGAGATCACCTTCGATTACAATTCTGTCACAGAGGTGTGTTCTTAATACACGTGATGCTTAACTTCATTTGAAACAAAATCAATTATTTGTATTTGATCAAGTGTCTTATGGTGGTTTCTCATGATAAATCCAGAGTAAAGAAGAGTATGAAGCTTCTGTATGTTTGTGCGGTAGCCAGGTCTGCCGTGGGAGTTACCTGAACCTTACAGGTGAAGGGGCCTACCAAAAGGTAAATATTTTACTACTCTAATTCCATAATGTGGCTGTTTATGGTCCTTTCACCTCATGCTTTAATTGATTCGAGTAGTAAACAATTTATTTTTCAGAGAGAGAGAGAGAGAGAGAGAGAGAGAGAGTGTGTGTGTGTTTTTTTTTTTTTTTTTTTTTTTTTTTTGGTTTTGGTTTAAGTTTTTGTTTGTTTAGGGCATTGTTTACTTTATTTGCATAGTGTCTCGTTAGCTGTTGTCATCAGGTGATCTTCTGTGCAGGTTATAGAGCAGTATCATGGAATACTTGATAGACATGGGCTGTTGTTGGAGGCATGTGAACTGAATTCAGTTTCTGAAGAGGACTATATTGACCTGGGCAAAGCTGGGCTTGGAAGTTGTTTACTTGCGGGGTTGCCAGATTGGTTGATTGCATATTCAGCTCGTGTGGTATGTATCTAGTCTGTCCAAATCTTACTAGTGGAATCAGATTGGAGTTCTTTCTAAGTTATTGATTTTGGTTAAAGGTGAGATTCATCAATCTTGAGAGGACGAAACTTCCTGATGAGATTCTTAGGCATAATTTGGAAGAGAAGAAGAAGTACTTCTCTGAGATTTGCATGGAAGTGGAGAAGAATGATGCTGAAATTCAGGTGAATATTTCTGCCATTTGTTCACATCTTCTTGTCCCAGCCCCAATTTCTGCATCTGTTTAGACATTTATGAGTTTTGTTTATTGATGCTACAGGCCGAGGGTGTTTACAATCAGAGGCTTCAGAACCTCGCTCTTACTCTTGATAAGGTAGCTAGCATACTCCTTCCCAGTTGAAACCTTTTTATGGTCATCTATATTTGCCAAGAACTTCTTAAGCTTCTGAAGCTGCATGCTTTTTATAGAGTAAAAAGGGAACTATGAGGTTTAGTTATTTGACATTATGGATTGTTTGCAGGTGAGGTATGTAATGAGATGTGTCTTTGATGATCCAAAAGAAGCCCCTCCTCCATTAGAGAGGCTTAGTCCTGAGGCAGTAGTCTCTTTCATCTGGAGAGGAGAGGGATCACTTGTAGAGGAGCTTCTTCAATGCTTGTCCCCTCATTTGGAAGAAAGTGGGCTGTTGTATGACCTCAAGGCCAAGATTCGTGCTCGGGATCCATCTCGGTCAGGTGACATTATCAGGGAGCTTAGGAAATCTTTACTATGGTAAGTAGTTCTTTGACAAACTTAGTTGGGTGAAGATTTTTGAACTTTGAGCTGATAGATGATGCTCACTCTTTTTCCTCAGGTTGAGGGATGAGGTCCGGAATCTACCATGTACATACAAATGTAGGAATGATGCTGCTGCTGACTTGATTCATATATATGCTCACACAAAGTGCTTTTTTAGAATAAAAGTGAGTTCTTGTTTTTTATTCCTTTTGTTGTTTACATGAAATTCTAACAAACATTTTCCCTCGAGGAGAATTACCAACTTGTGTTATTGTATCTTGTCTGTTACTACAGGAATACAAGACTGTAACCTCTCCTCCTGTTCACATCAGTCCTCTTGACCTTGGACCCAAGTATGCTGATAAGCTAGGACCCGGTGTGCACGAATATTGTAAGACATATGGTGAGAATTATTGTTTGGGGCAATTAATTTATTGGCATAATCAAGCAAATGCCGAGCCGGATAATAGCCTAGCTAGGGCAAGCAGGGGTTGCTTGTCATTACCCGAAGTTGACTCTTTCTATGCAAAAGCCCAGAAGCCTTCACGGCAGCGTGTTTATGGCCCCAGGACAGTCAAGTTTATGCTATCGAGGATGGTAAGCAGTAGTATTCATTCTTGAACTTGTTCTCTTCCACTCAACATAATAATTGTTGCATGGTTTAACTTGGAGTCAATTCTGGTAACAATTTTGCAGGAGAAGCAGCCACAGAGAGCATGGCCGAAGGATCAGATATGGTCATTCAAGAGTAACCCAAAAATTGTTGGCAGTCCTATGCTAGATGCGATTTTGCACAAGACCTCCATAGATAGGGATCTAGTGAACTGGTTAAAGAACCGACCCGCCATTTTCCAGGCCACATGGGATCGATGAAATTTTGCAGGCAGGCAGGCATTGGGGAGAGGCAGCATGAGGCTTGTTGTTAAGGTGTTTGATTGATTAGGGTTTGTTTTTGCTTCCTCATTGTTTGATAGGGTAGGCACTACTAGTCAGAGAAAGGTCCCCTTTAGTCAGGGTGTGGGTTATTCCCGGCCTTGTGCTGCTTCCATTGTCTATTCTTGTGTACAGTTTTATTTCTCTATTTTTCATTCTTTTTTCACAGTTTTATAATATGTAATTCTTCATCAGTTAGGGGTAATTCTGTTTTAATTTCTTTCTAAATTCTAATTCAATGAAAATATCACGACCAAAAAAGATAACAAAGCAACATTTTTCTCCCTTCTGTTTGCTGTTATTCCTTTTTTTTTTTTTGTCCTTAAATAAAGTTCTACACTGCCAAACGAGCCTGTACTCCCTTTAGTTGCCAAATATGGCTAATCAACAGTACGGTTGCCAGCTTCATCATTCCTTTTTGCTGATCTCTGCAACTTGCATCTCCAACTAAATACCAATTATACCCTCCATTTGTACCTCAACCTTGTCCTTGTCCAAAAGAATTAATTTCACTTTTGGTCTCATGACTTTTGATGTTCTATCACTTTGGTGCATAATTTTAAAAAATTTTCAATTTTGGTGTGTAACTTTGCTATTTTTATTAGTTTTGGTCTTTTGACCAAACTAACGGTAAAATGTTGTCAGATTTTTTATTTTTATGAGTAAAATTGCAGGGAAATATCTTCAATATTTAAACAAAATCATTGTAAAATCATATCTATAGATTTTTGATCAATGAGAATAATGAGGAAGATGAACAATAGCGTTAACGACTGGCAAACCCTCCTTTTTCTCTTAATATGATTTTTCTTTTGTTTAAATATCGAAGATCTTTCCTTGGGCTTGGGATGATGATTTTGTTCCTAAAATATAAAATCCGGCAATATTTCACTATCAAGTTTGACCGAAAAGATCATAACTGATAAAAATAACAAAATTAGGTACAAAAATTAAAAAATTTTAAAATTGTGCACTACAAGTGATAAGCCTCAAAAGTCTTGGGAACATAAGTGAAATTAATTCTTGTCCGAAATTACGCCAGAGCCGAGCCACGAGCGAATCGCACTATCCGTTGGATATAAAACCCCCAACTTTCATCTAACGGCTGGGCTGAGAACACCCCGCTCAAAATTTCAAAAGATTCCAAAATATACGTCTCTCTCATCCCCAGTACAGACAAAACCAACAGTCCCCTGAAATCTGAATCAGCACCGCCACCTGTCACAGGCCCCCTCGAATCTGCAACTCCCAATCGCCACCGCCACCTGTCATCCACCCGGACTCCAAGCCGCCAAAATTCGTTCATCTCTCCTGTCTTATCCCTAACCGCCGCGTGTCCCCCTTAACATTCCCTGCACCCTGGATACTATACATACATACATATATACAACTTTGCAGATTCCCAAATAGCATTTATCTCTGTGCATTGTATCGTGGTGAGGTAATATGAAGAGAGAATTTGAGATGTCGTCGTCGTTGTTGTTCTACGGCGATGAACAGGCTTTCCCGGTGGACGACGAAGCGTATATCATCAACGGAATGCACGATAAGCTGAGCTTCCGAGCTTTGCTAAGCTTGTGCCTCAACCACGACGAACAGACCGGTCTATCACATTTACTGCCTCCTCAGCTCATCAGTACTGCTGCTACTTCCAACTTCAACTCCTTGCCGTATGATGTTTATCCTCCGATGCCGGAGAATGTGGCATTCGGATCCTTTTCTGCTTTTCCTCCGACTTTGATTCGGAGTCTCCAATGCGGAGATTTGGAGCTCAAGTTTTCGAAAATGCCGAGGCAGGATTTCAGTACTCATCACTTCGGATCCTATGGCTATGGCGGCTATGGATATAACAACAGCGCTGCGGTTTCCACGGAGCCGTCTAACTGCTTCGCTGACGACGGCGTCTCCTGCGACTACGGCTTCCGTCACTTGCCGGATCTCCGCTCGCTAGAAAAACAACAACCGCTTCCTTTGAATACCGAGGAGTTCGGTTTCCGACCTCCACGCAACATCGGCGGCTACATTCTCGACAAAGCGACCGGAAACTACCAGCCTCCAGCTACTCGTCGTCATCCGCACAGAGAACCACGGAAGGCGGCGGCGAAGACGGAGAGTAGATCCTGCAAACTAGCCCGAGAGAGGCGACAGAAGCAGTGCGAGAAGATTCGGTATTTACAGAAGCTAATGCCGTGGGAGACGAAGATGGACACGACGAAGATGCTGGAGGAGGCGCACAAGTACGTCAAATTCCTCCAGGCGCAGGTTAGAGTCCTCCAGACCATGCCGGTTCGAGGCGCTCTCCCCTCTCCAAACACTACCCCCGCCCTGCACGGCACACTCGCGAAGCTCTCCCGGCAACAGCTGCTGGAGGCTCTGGTGAACTCGCCGGCGGCTCAGACGTTCCTTTACTCCAGAGGCTGTTGCGTATACTCCGTCGAACAGTTGGCTCTGCTCGGAAAAGTAGTCGACAGAAAAGCTCTGTTTGAGCAGATGCTCATCGCCTCTGCATCCATGTTACGCTCCTAAATCCTAATTAAGGTGCTCAAATTACTAATTTCTCCCCTCATTATCTTATTACTATTATTTAGGGGCACTTATAATTATTATATTGTTATATTACTTATTACAGAATCATTGTAGGAACATGATCTGATGTGCAAATGCACTTCTTTCCTTTTATGGTATATGCAAATGGGTTTCAATTTCAATTGTTATCTTTGCATTGTAGACCTTGTGAGCTTGCAGATATGGCTCGAATTTATATTTATTTTTATAGATACATAATATATTAATATGTTAACTTCAAACACATAATCTAAATGTTATTTTGGATCAGAATTCATAATGTTATCTGACTTTCGATTTGGATTAAGCTTTTTGAACGTAGTGTACAGTTTGATGAAATTAAGAAACTCGAGCTATCCAAAAAAAAAAAACAAAGACTGAACAAAAAAGTGATACACCTGCTATATTTCAATTAAAGTAAAAATCTTTGTCCCCCATAAAAGAAAATCATAATGTTGTTTGGGCAAGATAATATGGTTTGATTAGGAGATCACAATACAATTCTGTTTGAAACTTGTCCATACATTCTTAGACAGGGAACAAGGGGGTGACCTGACTAATACTAGAGATAATATTGATCCATTTATGCACTTGTGTCAATACAAACATGAAAGCTATTCCATAATAAACTATAAATTGTCGACGAGCTTGCCAAAAAATACAATGATAAAATATGGGTAGCAAAAGAACAGCAACTTATTGGAGATGAATGCAGAGACATGAATAAATTCATTTGTCAAACTCCCAGATCACTCCACCATCCTCTGCAACATTTAAACAATCATTAGATCAAAGCCGTGTATAGAAACATACAAATCATAGTGTCCGCCCACCCCAATACCCCCATAAAAACAAATGATCAGATGCACAAGAAAACACTTGTTTTGCATTTGATCATATTGAACCCTAAAACGTCAAGGGATTGATCCTTGGGTTTGGGTACAAAACAGCCTTAAATCTCCAGGCCAGCTATCCCATTCTTAGAGGCGCTTACAATTCAACAAGGGGATTAGTCACGGTATCCAATGGTGGAAACCCTGAGTTACACCCCAAAAAAAATGATTGAACCCTAAAACTAAGGAACCATCCTCCATTACAGATGGTAAGAGTTAAGACTAGCTGCGTATGATGATAAACTAGAGTTCAGAACTTTAAGCCCTATTCACTAACAGGGGTAACAAATAATATAATGGACATTTGTTTATCCAGGGAAGTTTCATGGAATGCAGTTCGCCCTATCTAGTTCAACAATCTAAGAAATGAACTATGAACGAAAGAACGTCAAGTTTAGCATACCAAGATTCCACCTAATAAAGATGCTCTTAAATCCTTCACCTAGTGAAAGAAAAGATCGCAAGCTCAGTTCTACTTCAAGAATTCAGAGCAAAGATGGGTATTATACCTTTGATCTTCTTGTTTATCCACACTTCTAGCAGCATCCCAGCCCCAATCCCAGCAGCAATACAGGACCCGTAAAAAGCTATAGCTGATGGTAAGGACGATCGAGGAAGAAAATAACATTCCGGGATTTGCCTAATTTTCTTCGGGAGTCTCTTCTTCACTGTCGGTCCAACACCGGACTCGCTATGTGAAGGCTCAGCCATACTTTTCCACTCAATATCTTTCAGTGGATCTTTTGGCTCTTCTGTGCCCATCATAAAACTCTACTCTGTAACATAATTTAATGATTTAAATTCTATGAAACACAACCAAAACAGGAAAAACAAATAATACTAAACAAAGAGTTCCAGTTATGAGCCCATTCCACAAAGCATATGATCATAATTTATGATAATGAAGTATAACAACTACTACACCACATTCTAAAACTCTTTCAAGCATTTCATCGAACACATAGCGACCAAAGAAAAACAAAGGCCATAACACCCACAACAACACCAGTAACCAATCACTATATACTCCAAACTCGTGGCGTAAGCTTCAAGTAGTATGAGAAACATTGATCTTAATCAACCCATAAACAATAAATAAATAAATAAACAATTAAAATGGATTGAAAATGGAGAAAAAAATAGTAAAAATCAAAACACGAACTGGGGAAGAAAGATACTTCACCTTCAGTAACTTCTGAATAATCCGGTGAAGAGAGGATTGCCGGAATTAATGGCGGAAGACTGGACGAGAAGTGTTTGAAGAATTGAAGTTGAATCTGTTATCTGGGCTTAAAGAGGACCCGAATTGGAAATTTAAAATTCGGGTCGCCTGTTTAGACTGGAAATGGGTTAAGCATTTTCGGCCCAATTCAATCAATTATAGGGTGGCAATTTTTTATTTTTACTTTTTAACTGTAAATAATAAAGATATTGAAATGGCATTTAATTTTCTATTTATTATGCATGCAAACTTTTTTTAAAAAAATAAATTATTTTTCATAAATAATATAATTAATTACTTTGTTTAAAGAACAAAAAGTGGCTTTTTGTACTGCTTAGTTCAATCTTCTTTTTTGCTTCTTATTTTATTTTCTGAGTTTTAAAGAATTGCAAATGAAGTTTTGTAGATTCTTACTTCCTTCCTAAGGAATGAATATCTCACCTTAGATATAAACCAAAATATTCTCTTTGATTTCACATTTTAAAAAATAATAATTTTCCTTCTAAATGATAAAATCTTGTTTGACGTTAATTTTTTTTTTTTTTTTAATATAAAAACGTTAAAAAAAATTATTAAGAACACATTTAATATCATATCATGAACCCCGATCCATGTATAAGGATTGGTTAGTTGATCTTATCTTGTGTGCAACCGGCCGTTTCATGTAAGATATAAAATACTTTTTATTGAAAACGTAATAATATTTTTTTGTAAATTCAAAAAAAATAGTATTATTAAAAATTATTATAGATTTAATGTGAGATGATTTTATTTACGGTTAAGAGATTTTTGAAAGGGAATATTATATAGTACAATGTAGTGGTTAATTTTTGTTTTTGCCACTAGATCATGGATAGATCCTAGAAGTGTTCAAAAGTAAGAAACTAAGAATAGGTTGCATGCTTCATCTTTCTTTTAAAAGCTAGGTAAACGCATTAGTATAAGTTCATAAGCTCAATACATTAACTTCATAAGGTATTGACATACTCAATATTTTATGAACACATAGCTTTAAGTTTATTTACCTACAAACTACAATTCACATATTATGCATTTATAACAGGTTGGATTAGAATTACTTGAAATGATACATTTATAGATAATAGATTATATACTTATGGATTTAAGTTTATGTATCTACGTCTAACAAATTATGTACCTACTGCAAATGTGAGTGTTAAACTAAATGAAAGGAAAAGAAAAAAAAAATACCATGCTAATTTAAACAAAATAACATCATTTTAAACTATAATTTACATTCCAGGTTCACAAAGTAATTTGCACAATACTATGCAATTTTTTAAAAAAGATTTATGCCCATGCACAGGTGTATAATTGACGGTAATAAGAATTAAATCTGAAATTTCTTTTCCAAAAACTTTTAAATCAAAACTTTAACTGTGTAAATTAATATTTTCTAAAAAGTTTGAATATCAATAATTTTTTTTTTTTTTGTTAATAATAGTATTTTCCATCTAGGGGTTCAAATAAACTATTACCGAACTATATTCTAGACCTCGTAATAAACCTCCTAAATTTATGAAGAGATAAATCGAATCAATTTAGCTCTGAAACTTAATACTAAACGCTACACTTCTGTGCACAAAAAACTCAATACAAATATAAATTTCTAATATTTGTGATAGAAATTAAACTTTCATTTCAACTGAAAGTAAATTTTAAATGATAATTTTTATTCACATGTATCATCCAATTACATTTGAGGCTAAAAAAATAAAAAAAAAAAAAATCTTTTTTGGGGAATAATAATGCCTAGTCTCCAACCTATTATGTGAAATGTAGAGCCTATAGATCAGACATGCGTTGAAGGTCAAATTAAAATGTTGAAATATAGTTTGAAATCTTGTCAATATTGTCGTGGGCATAGTCAACATCTTAAACAATACTTTCACACTAGTAGTGTCAATTTCATGTGCTTCTCATTATAGGTAGCTCAAGTGATAAATGAGTTCTTTTTATACAGAAAAATTTTGGAATAATCCAGATTTAATTCTCACAAATGACGATTTTCTTTGAACCGGCTCCCGTGTCTCCCGGAGCGAATAATTTAATAGCACTTATGTGACCTTTTTAAATGGGAGGTCACATGTTCAAAATCTAGTGGAGATATTGATATATATAACTATGTTATGTATTATTTTGATAATATAAAGTGAAGAAAAATTTTGAGGTGTCAATCAGCATTGGTGTCATGTTACACCTGGTATAAACATACAAGTGTAATGAATTGAATTGAACTGAGTACTATATATCAGCGCTGGCGTCAATAATACATAATACAACCCACAACATTTGTGTTGTTGGACCAATACTGATAATCATTGTAGAAGTTCTTGTGAAGAGAAAGATCATTTTTATGCAAGTACGTATAAAATATATATGTAACACCTTATATGCATCGAGAAATTTTTTGAGTGACGAAGGAAATTGATTTGCACACATTACTAAGATTGTGCATTGAATAAATCCTGATTACGTGTAATAACATATAAATTACATAATAGAAGTGAATCGCACTAGAAAAATTCTATACGATGAGTTTGATTGAGTTGTGATTTTGTTTTTTTAATAGTTAAATGATAGTACTAGTAAATAAGTAATAAATATGTAGACCTGGGAAGAAGCAAAATCATTCACCTATCTTTACCAAAAAGGTCAAAAAGAGCTGGTTGGGATCTGGGCAATCGCCGAATTCAGCTTTGTCTTTGCTAGATACCCAAACATATATACTATATTTCTTAGCTGGTCTGCACTCTACCTTTTCATGCTCCATTGCCACCCCCATTAGAAAAGGTATCCAAAGAATTGAAAATGCAACAATTATTACTTTTACAAGTCATTCTTATTCTATGTGATGCCATACTTTATATATAAAGTTAATGTTCGTTATTAAAATTTAATTAGTTTGCATCATTGTATATAATAAATCTGTCAAAAGTTAAAATTTAAAGTATTTATACGTTAATTAAATGTGAATCATGTAAAAAAAATTACAATATATTAGATCTTAACTATGATAAAATTGATGTTTTGTAAAAAAATATAAACAAATAATGTCGAGCATCAAATAAGAGTATTGATTCTTTACTTGATGTTAAATCAATATTTTGTGTATTATTACTATTTTTTTTTTTTTTAAATTTAGGATCATATTGTGCAATAATGTAAAAAATTTCGACATAAATATTGAAATGAAAATCAGACCTGTTAAAGAGTTTTGAGTTAGACTTTATCCCAAAAGAGTCAAACTTTATATATGTATGTCCGATGAAATCTGAATTAGTTTTACAGTAGTGGGAATACCAAATGCCAGGAAATTAAAAATGAAAGACAAATAAAATAGAATAAAAGAAGGGAAGAAAGCTAGAATTGCATTGAAGCAAGAGAGGCTTTAGTTTTCTTTAGAATCATCCAAACATTTCTGATTTCTCCTTTACATATTGTATTTAAAGTATAGCACTGCACAAAATCTAATATTTATTTAAATGTATATTTATATATGGTTAATTTGAAAGCTATTCTACTTATATATCATCTTCTTTCTTTCCCTTCTCCTTCTCACTTGGCTTGACCAAAGCAAAGAAAAAGCAGTCTCAATACCCCCATTTTCAATTCCTTTTCTGCTTGAAATATTATCAAACTAACCTCATGCTAAAATGGCTTCTAAAGCATTAGGCCTTCTTGTCTGTGCTCTCATTTTGGCACTGGATATTGTAGCGGGAATTCTTGGGATTAAGGCAGAAGCAGAACAAGATAAGGTACCCCTACACTCATTTCACTTTCATGTACATACATAAAATATGTCATAGCTCAGTGGTTGAAAGGTTGAGTGTGAGTGTAGTGACTCAGTAAATACCCAGATTCGAATCCTCAATGAGAGGATCTCAGTCTCGGGACAAAAACATGCACTCAAACCCTGTCTCACTGAGACACATCTAGCAATTTGAATCCTCTCATCCAACCTAGGCAGGGTGTTAAGAGACCATTAGGTTTGGAGTTTAGATTTGTGTACGTAAAATGTCATGAAAAATGATAACTGTTTACTTTCTTGGTTTGAACAGGAGAAGCATTTAAGGTTATGGTTGTTTGAGTGTAAAGAGCCGAGCCACGAAGCATTTATGCTCGGTGCAGCGGCAATTGGGATACTGGTGATAGCTCATTTGGTTGCCAACCTTCTTGGAGGCTGCAGTGTTTGCGCCACGGATGAAATTAAGAATGCCTCCACTCGCAAGCAAATCGCTATTGCATTTCTTGCCTTCACTTGGTATGTATTTTTGCCCTTACTATCATCATTACTTCATCCATATATTCTTAATTAAGAAATTATAGGGATAAGCTAAGCCTTTTTTTTTTTTTTTTTTTTTTGAAAGTTACTGGCTCTATTATAGGGATAAGCTAAGCCTTAAATAGACGCGTATACCAAAATACAATTAGATTATCAATTTTTTTTTTTTAAATTCTAATTGTATGTTTAATTAAACTTGTCAAAATTGTATAATTAATCCAACCTATAATAGCATGATACCCCAAGTTACCTGCCAGACAAAGATTCCATGTAGATTAATATTTTTTAAAATTATTTTAAAAATACAAATTAAAATAATTATATTTTAAAAAAATAACAACAACCTCCGAAGTGGCTACTTCGTCAATGTCAATCTGGACAGAGAAGACATCTTTCCCGTCTAGATCGACATGGATGAAGAATCTTTGCGAGCATCTGATGGAGAAGCCGCCAATTTCTTTGTCTAGATCGGACGAAGAAGCCAGCTCCTCAGTTCTGGATATATATATATATATATATATATATATACACTTAATTCCTTTGTCCCATTTTATGTGTTTGGTTCGGTTAACAAGGTTTGACTAAAGTTATTTTTAATTCAATTTTTCATAATATTAAGTTTAGTATTAATATACAAAATTTATATATTTAGAAATTACACAAAATACTATTAAACACAAAAAATTAAATTTAAAAATAAGTAAAAAAATAATAAAGAAAAATTAAACAAAGAAGAAATGGTTGGCTTGACTAATGAATAGTAAGTATGACAGATAAAATGGAACAGAGGAGTACTTTTTGAGCTAATTCTATTTTTTTGTCTTAGATTTATAGGTGATAGTCCACTTTTAGTTCTTTTTTATTGGAACATTCACTTTTTGTCCTAGTGTTATTGTGACATGACCATTTTTTGTCCTTTATCAACAAAATAATTTAAATATCATTAAATACAAGGGCATTTCGGTCTTCAATTATGAATTTTTTTTTTCAAAAAAAAAAACATAAAAAAATATAATGGTTCAACCTAGCTTCTTTGTATAAAAATATATTGAAATGTATTTATATTTAACGACATTTCAACGATTTTGTTGATGAAGGACTAAAAATGGTCATGCCAAAATAATACTAAGACCAAATAAAGATGTTATAATAAAAAAGGACTACTATCACCTATAAATCTATCTAGGTCCAAAAGTGGAATTAACTCTAATTTTTTTTTACAGGGCGTTTGGTTGGAGGGGGGGAATTATGTGGGAAAGGAATTGTAATTCTATGGGAGTTGAATTACTGGGAATAAAGTGGGAGTTTAAATTCCAGTGTTTGGTTGACAGGAATAAAATTACTGGGAATTTCAATTCCAATGTTTGGTATACATGGGAATTGAAAGGGAATAAGTAGTATAAAGTCAAAAATGTCCATTATTGTTGTTAGACATTAATTTTAGGTTAAAAAAGGAATGGGTAATTTTGACTCATCACTATCTTTTTTTCCCAGGAATTAAAATACCGGGGGGGGGGGGGGTGGGGGGGGGACATGGGATTTTAATTCCATGAAAATGGGGGAATTGCAATTCCCTCCAACCAAACTATGGAATTTAATGGCCTTTGGAATTAGGTGGGAATTAAGTGGGAAGGGAATTTAAAATCCCTCCAACCAAACGCCCTGTTAGTTTTTATTTTTTGAATGAGATGACACGTCAGATACCATACAAACATATTTTTTTTTGACAACACAAAATTAATCGGTTATTTGATAACTTGTTAAATATGTTAATTGCATAATTTTAACTTGTTTTACCACATGTTTGTTTAGTTCGAAGGTTTAATTACATTTTGATATATGGTTCCCAAAATTCTATAACATCATAGGTTAAAAACCAAAATAAAGAGTAACATAGATAAATAACCTAACGCCATGAATAAATATTATGTATGTGTATGTGTGGGCAGGATCATATTTGCAGTGGGATTGGGGACACTTGTGATTGGGACAATGGCAAACAGAAAGTCTCGAGCATCGTGTGGGATGTCTCACCACAACTTTCTGTCGATTGGAGGAATTGCTTCCTTTGTTCATGGGGCCTTTGCACTTGGATACTATGTCACTGCAACCATGGCTACCTAATCCTTAATTCATATATAATGCATCATAATCTACCTTTTGTTCCTTAAATCCATCTAATGTTAAGTTAGTCCTAGGCTAATGTTTTTAACCTCTTCTGTTTAACGGTTCTGTCGTCCCACTTTCCTTGTCTCATTTACTATTTTATTGGTAAAAGTGATTATGTTGTTGCTTAAAGTTTGATTATTTTTCCTCAAAACTACATTGATGAGTTGTTCAAACTCGATGACTTGACTAAATCCAAGGAAGGAAGGAGAAGTCGTATCGCGTAAATTATACCACGGACCAGGGTCCAAAGGTCCACATTGCATTATGAACCCTGGTTCAAAACAATATTCTGTAACTGCAGTTAATATATTATGTACCCCTGATTAACTGATTATGTATTTGTAAATAAATTGAAGAAACATAATAATTAACTGCATTTGCATAATAATTTATTAACGGCAGGTACATAATTCGGACTGATTCACTATGAGCATGGTAGACCATGATTCACAATATAACAATGCCATGCCAATGAAATATATGTAAAGGGGACAACAACTCAACAAGCTACATTAACAAGTGAATAGAAGCAATGAAATAAATGTAAAGGGGACAACTCAACAAGCTACATTAACAAGTGAATAGAACCAATGAAAATACATGTAAAGGGGACAACAACTCAACAATCTACACTAACAAGTGAATAGAACCTTAAACTGAAGTTCCTACTTTCTTTGAAATGACTGGTTTTTGTAGTACTACAAGGTTGTACTATGCTTAGGTTTGAACTATAATACATACAAATGACTAATCATGTACCCTCTTAAGTCTTAACTCTACTCGGGGTGGCTCGTGACCACCACTCGCTATTCTATTATATACATTCTTCATTGCTAGCTCTGAGAGGGGGTAACGAAGAAGATATGTTTTTCTATTGATAGTTTTATTGTACCTGAAGTGAGGCGGCTTTATGGGGATGAATCCTCGTCGTCTGAACTGAAACCATCGCCTGCCTGTTGTGGCTTGAAGGCGGGGAATAGTTGCAGGGGAATATTAGGCAATCGTGCACTTTGGGGTTCACCCTTCCCAGAAGTAGCGTTTGCTCGTTTTATCAACTCTCCCACTTCTTTGCAGACCTTGTCCAGTGTTAGCAAGAAATCGCGAACAATGACAAAGAGGCGAGTGCCTTCGTCCTTTGCTGTCTTCCCATGGAAGTAATCTCCGGTGTTCTTCACCAGTTCCATTATCCGTTTCTCTTCTTCTACCTGCCTTGTGATCTCCTCCCCCGAGTGCTTCAAGAAGTTCTCGAGCGTTTCCTTGAACGCCGTTTCTCCCTCTACATTATTCATATCAGCGTCTAGAAAATCCCGGGCTTTTGAGAGTGAGTGCTTGAGTTTGGCAACGGATTGTGTGAGGTTATCGTGGTCAATTATGGCTGCCTTCTTCACGTTTTCAAGCTCGTCGCTCAGCCTGGAAAGTACCTGTAAACCGAGGCTTTGATAGTACTCTGCAGATCCCTTTCGGCTGCTCTCCTCTACACAGTCTTCGGTTCTCACACTGCACACACTCAGATTCTCCTTCAATCTCCGGGCAGATTTTAGGCCTTCGGAACGACTGATTTCTTGAACAACAAAGTGCAGAAGTGTGGTCTTGCCATCGGTTCCTTTAACATCTGATAGTTTCAAGAGTGTATCCAATTTGAATGCCTGGGCTCCACCCCGGTAGGTGCCAACATTCATTCGGTTCCCAGTCTTCAGAACTGCTTCCAAGAGTTTAAGGAAGAGTCTGCTGTTGCTCAGCTCCTTACTTGCCACCTGCAACCAAAATTCTAGTACCGTTTAAGGAACATTATTAATTATTCTAATTGAAACATGTGCTCCATCTCAACTAAAAGCTCAAACCCGTGACCTTTGGTCTGGCTCTGATACCAAATTGAAGCATGTGCTCCATCTCAACTAAAAGCCTAAGCTTATAGTTGGATTGCACATTAATGGTTATATGCTCAACAATTCTTGTGTATGTCTTGACCAAACGTAAATCTTGTCATGTTTACTTGTTTATTATCTCAAAAACATAAAGTGGAGAATCATGAACAGCTCTCACCTCTAAGGTTGCAAAGGACTGTTTAACGGAAGAAATTTCTTCCTGGAAAACAGTCATGAACAGCAGTGATTCCATCCTTTTGAAGGCAAAGGGGATGCCGACCAAAACTTTCAAGAAGCGATCAGCTGGAGCAAGCTCAGAAATGTCTCCGGTGAAGAGCCGAAGCTTGAGCTCTTCCTCTTCTGTTGGTGCCATTTTCAAAAGAGTCTGAACGAATTCCGATGGCAACTCATTGCCTGGGTAACACAAACAAGAAAGTCGAGTTAATTTCACACGCACAGAGAGAACACAACAGAAAGGTAAACAAGAAGTTACCCTCTTTGAGAGCATCACACACTTCTTCTGTGGTCAAATTCAAGGCTTTAAGAAGAATTGCCAAGTTCTGTGCCTTCCTAGCGTCAATAATCTGAACAAAATGTGGGGTTGAATCAAATGGAGTTACATCTTTCTTCTTGCACTCATTTTGTTTTTTATCTACTGTCTTATACCCAAACAGTGATTCCATCTTTTCCTCATTAACCCTGCATTGAATTGCAGTGTAAATTCAGACACTTCCATTGCCAACACAGACAATCAAAATCAAATCTCTCCAACACTGAAGCCTTACTCGAACGAGCCACACTTGAGCTCATGCCAAACCATCGTCGGATTAGGAGTGGCATTAACCTTGTCCCAGAAAAATGGCTTCAGTTTAGCTTTACCAGACTCGCCTGATTCACTTTCTGTCCCGGAAGGAAGTCCTTTAATTTTTTGTGCCTGAGGCTTTGGTGGAACTGGAGCCTTACCGCCTTTTGGTGGCGCTGGAGGCGGACCACCTTTTGGCGGTGGAGGAGGTCCCTGAGCAGAACGTCTGGACGGAGGCGGAGGAAGTGGAGGTGCACATTTTGCTGCAGCTAATTCTGGAGTTTTAGTTTCAGTTGCAGAAGAAGTAGAAGTATGGCTATCAATCATATCAGGTGTCACCAAGGGACTGTCAAGAGTGGATGAAGTCTTCAATTCCTTCACATCCCCCGGAGGATTTTCGTTGCTCTGAGGCATCTGTTTAGCTCCTGAGCAAATTATACCGATGTTGTCAATAAAATCATGTCTGCAACAACATAAACTCAATCATTGTAATCAAGTACCTGCAGAAATGTGATCAGTTGAACTTAAGTTAACATGTTTGTCTATGCCAATTGTGCCATTTGTGCCAATTGTGCCATTTGTGCCATTTGTGCCATCTGTGCCATTTGTGCCATCTGTGTCATTTGTGCCAATTGTGCCATCTGTGCCATTTGTGCCAATTGTGCCATCTGTGCCATCTGTTTGCTCAAGTTCTTCCTCTTCTTTGTTTCTTTTTTTGACGAAACATACCAATATGAGAGCTACAAGGGTAATCCCTCCCACAGTCCCACCAGCAACAGCAGGAACTATAATCTTTTTATTCTTATGGTCATCCTTGGAAGGAACATGATCATAATCTTGTGGTTTAGGAAGAGGAAATTTTGGCATTTCATGAGGGCTATTTGGCATGGGAGGAATGATTGGTGGTCTTATTGGAGGCGGGTGAACAACGGGTAAAGGCAAAGCAGATTTAAAGAGAGGATTTTCATTGGGAGACAGTGAAGGAGATTCAAGACTCAACAAGGGTGAGCTAGCAGGAGCACTAGGAGGATGACTTTTTGGCATTGGAGGAGGAGGAGGAAGTTTTGGCACTTGAAGAGGGATTTTTGGCATTGGAGGATGATAACTTCTTGGCACTGGAGGAGGACTTCTTGGCATTGGAGAATGATGACTTCTTGGCATTGGAGGATGATGACTTCTTGGCCTTGGAGGAGGAGGACTTCTTGGCCTTAGAGAAGGAGGACTTCTTGGCCTTGGAAGATGACTTCTTGGCCTTAGAGGAGGACTTCTTAGCATTTGAGGAGGATGACTTCTTGGCCTTAGAGGAGGACTTCTTGGCATTTGAGAAGGATGACTTCTTGGCCTTAGAGGACTTCTTGGCATTGGAGGAGGATGACTTCTTGGCATTTGAGGAGGATGGCTTCTTGGCCTTAGAGGACTTCTTGGCATTGGAGGAGGATGACTTCTTGGCCTTAGCGGATGACTTCTTGGCCTTAGAGGACTTCTTGGCCTTAGCGGATGACTTCTTGGCCTTAGAGGACTTCTTGGCCTTAGAGGATTTCTTGGCATTGGAGGAGGATGGCTTCTCGGCATTGGAGGATGATGACTTTTTGGCATTGGAGGATGATGACTTTTTGGCCTTAGAGGACTTCTTGGCCTTAGAGGACTCCTTGGCATTGGAGGAGGATGACTTCTCGGTATGGGAGGATGCCGACTTTTTGGCATTGGAGGACGAATTCTATTACTTCTTGGAAATGAAGGAGGACTTCTCGGCATTGGAAGATGATGACTTTTTGGCATTGGAGGAGGATGATGAATTCTATTACTTCTTGGAAATGAAGGATGAGTTCTAGCCATTGGAGGATGGAGTTTTGGCATTTGAGGAGGGCTTTTTGGCATTGGAGGATGATGACTTCTTGGCATTTGAGGAATGAAATGTGGTCTTATCGGAGGCGGGTGACCAGTAGGTAAAGGCAAAACAGACTTCAAGACACGCTTTTCGTTTGGAGACAGCGAAGAAGATTCAAAACTCAACAATGGTGAGCTAGCAGAAGCAGAAGGAGTGGATGGTGGAGTGAAAATGGGCAGCATTGCTTCAGCCCTTGGAGATGAAGAAGCAGAGCTAGGTAAAACTTTGTGCCATAACTTTTTATCTCTCAAGGATTTTCTGGGAAAACTAGACCAACCAGAAACAATTTGATAATCATCTGAAATCTCCTCTAATTCTTCCAAATACCCAATCCACATCTTCTCTATCTGTATCACAAAAACCATCCAATAATCAACTCATTACATATGCTTACTGAATAAAAAAAAAATGGCAAAAGAGAAAGGAAAAAGCAAAATATTCATACCCCATTGAGATCCATCTCTTGAGCATTACAAAATCCCCCAATCCCTAAAAGCTTCATATCTGAATCAATGACTACCAGAACACAAACAATGGCAACAAAATTGATGAGAGAACGGACCATTACCTCGCCCATTGATCTCTAATTTACCTTTCCAATCCCATCCTATTATCCTTTTCATTTCATTAGATACACACAACAAACCTATAATTATAGGGAGATAAATTCTAGAACAAAAAAGCACCAAACCCAGTTTCAAGGAACACCCACAGAGCCTTTCCACCTTTGCCTTCAATCCAGCTCGAAGAATTCCAAGAAAAACAGAGGGAAAATACACAGAATTTTACAGATACAAGTTTTGTGTGTGTATACTTTTCATGCAAAATTCTTTGTTTCCCTCCAAGGAAATCCCAGAAAACTCTGTTAAGAACCAAAAAAAAAAAGAAAAAAAAAGAAAAAAAAAAAAAAAAAAAAAAAAAAAGGAAAAAAAAAGGGATGAGATATGTGGGGTAAATGCACCTAAAAAATGGTATCTTCAACCCATCAAACGTTCTTCATAGAGAATGAAATGCAGGAACTCCATTGACAATTAAGATTGTTTCTGATACGATGAATGAAGGGGTTCCATTCCATGGAAAATGGTATATTGTTGGAATCTTGTTTCACTTTTTTTGGTTTTCTATTTTCGGTGGCAAAAGAGAGCAAAAATGAGTAAATAACTGATTATTTATAGTTTTGTAATACTAAAGTAATATTATTTTAAGAGAATTCTTATTTGCTATTAATTGCCTAATAAAAATTATTAGGTAAATAAAGTGATAATACTCAAATATAAATTTGAAAAACAATTTTTTTTTTCGGCGAGATTCAAACTCTGTTTTGCAATATTTAATTTAGTGTTAGTGCAATATTATTTTTAACCAAATCACACACATACAATGACATAGTGAAGCACTAAAATTTAATAAAAATAAAAATATAAAATATTAATGAAACATCACCGATAATAATAATAATAATAATAATAATAATAATAATAATAATAATAATAATAATAATAATTAAAAAAAAATAACAGGCCGTTTAATTCACGGAAAAAAAGCTGGAAATGAGATATTACCTCAGTGAATATGCATCAGAGCGTTTAGAGTGGTTAAGAGGCTAGCTGAAACACAATTTCAATATACTAAACTAAAGCTCTATCGGCTATGTAAGACAAAACTTGAAACACAGTTGCAAATCTTGCAATTCAGAATCTAATTCATTCTTGGTTTTTAGTAAGCTCACTTAACTATAAAAGTGTGATTTATCTCAGAATCCCAATTACATCCATACTCCTGTATTTCGCGCAATCTGAAGGCCACAAGAAGTTTGATAGATCAGTCCTCCTTCCCTCGTGCAACATCGATGAGATAGGTGTTCAGATGGTGGCCGAATATTTTGGTTGAGAATGACTCGGTGACATGCTGACGAGCATTCTGGCCCATCGTCTCTGCCAGATTAGGATCTCGGATGAAATTAGCCATGGCTGAACAGAACTCTTCCGGGCTAGGATCACAGAGGAAGCCTGTCTTACCGTTCTTTACTGTCTCTACTGGACCCCCGCTGTTGCATGCTATTACGGGTTTATATGCTGCCATTGCTTCCAAAGGGACAATCCCGAAATGCTCATCCTACAGAGATATATAGATTAGTGATCGAAGGAAAGGTTGTGTAAAACCAGTCGGATTGAAGAGATCATTGCATTTGGCCACACCTTAGGTGTATAAAGAACGCACAGGCATTCAGCGAGAAGCACATTTCTTTCAGCAGTAGAGCAAGATGTAATGAACCTAACCCGGTCAGAAACACCTTCTCTTTCAGCCAAGCGTTTCAACTCTTCCAGGTATTCAACATTCTCTCTGAGGCGTTTATCAAAGCCACCTGAAACAAAATACAAAAAGCTTCATGAAAATAGAATGAGGTCATTCTGTAATAAATTCATACTTTCATATGCAAATATACAACTCTAGAGTAGCATGCTTCAAATAAACAGCACACAAGTACAATCATTATTGTGTGGACCATATTTTGCATACTGTAAAATAATGTACATTCAGTACAAAAATAATGTACTTTAAGTATATTAAAAATGTACATTGTATTCAGGGGATGTACATTATTTGTGTACTGAGTGTACATTATATTGTATAATGTACATTCAGTACACAAATAATGTACATCTAGTATATTAAAAATGTACTTTTTGTTATGGTCCACACAATAATTTGCCACACACGTACCCACCAAAGAACTGCACTGTCATAGGGTAGAATAGAATGACGCAATTACCAGAAATTTACTTCAAATGATTTCTTTAACATATCTTTCCATTTGTTATATAACTGTAAAGATCTACTATGCAGAAAGTCAGACATCTAGAGATGTACTTGTAAAACCTAAACACAAAAGCAGCTATAAATTCTGCCGTACCCCGCATCCCAAAATACAAATTTGACAATATTGGCTGAAGAAATTGAAAATCTTTTAAGTCACTTGAGATTGTACACACCTATTCTGAAGTTCGAAGCTCAAACTTCGAAATTGTTTGTACTTGCCATATGCATGGAAATAAAGATCAGAGGTTGCCCTAATGCCCTAAACTCTCCTATAATATGACTTATCTAGTAGTAAAAAGTGAAATTTGAAAACCAACAATTCATTTGCAGAAACAAAGCTACAGAAAACGCAAATGTATGATTAGTTATTTAACTGAAGAACTTTACACAGGAATGAACAAAACCCATACCTGCAATAGTCAATGAAGCATCACCCATGTTAGCATGTTGATAATTGTTCAATTCATGATTATGGAGCCTGGCAAATGCAGAGATTGCCAATTCTATATTCTTTTTCCTTTCGAAGCGGTTGATGGATAGAAAATTTAACCTAAATATAGTGGATAAACAAAGTTATACTAAATCTCTAAGACAGTTCTACTAATATTAATTTGGATCTATTTAAAAAAAAAAAAATTCCTTTTTTCCTTTTTGGTGGTGCAGTGGTGGTGTGTAGGGAGGGAGAGCACCTCATTTAAAATTGTGAAATTGGAAGGAAAAAAAAAAAAAAAGGAAACAACATGCATTTCAATTTATGTGTTGAAATCAAACCTACAACTAGAAGTTCCAAAGAAATGGAAAAGCCTCTTACTTAGTAGTAGCATTAGGTTTGCTGAACTGATCAACATTTACTGTTGGGTATAGCACGGTGATGCATTCGTGGGACAACAGTACTACCGCAAAAGGCTCAAATCTCACAGATCAGCCATGCCCTTGATTTAAGCAATCTTATTTATTCTCTTTCCTTTTTCAATATTATTCAGAATCTCTTTATAGTTGGTAATTATCTTTCCTTCCTTAGTTAAGTATGTTGGTAGTCCTTAAATATGACAAGAGTATGTAATTGAAGGACAAGTTGGAATTTGAATAAAGATCTCTCAAGAAGGTTTCTCTTCTTCCAACTCTCTGTCCTTAATCTCAGACTTCTCTACTGCCACCATAGGTAGAGCTAAGTCTTCCTATTCCTCCTCTTCAGTATTCCATAGGCCCGTAACGCGAAGTATATCTCGTGATCGTATCAACTTGGTTCCCGTTGCCGGCGTTATGGGCAGTAACATCACTGAAGATCCTGCTTTCAAGGCACTGCAGAAATCTGTTCGCTCCCATGAAGCTTATGCTGACAAAATTGAGAACCTCTCGGCCACTGTGTCTTCCCTCTCTGCAACACAACACCAACAAGCAGCTTCCCTTGTTAATCTAGAACAAATGGTGAAACAACTTCTGATTGCTCAGGGCAAAACACCAGTCTCCGAAGTTGAATCAGAAACAGTGCACCAACTGGAAGGGGATTCGGCTATCCAAGAAACACCGGATGATAATCACTCCCTCATTCGATATGCTAAGATGGACTTTCCATTGTTTTCTGGAGATGAAGATCCTCTTGTATGGCTGCTACGTTGCGAATCCTATTTCCGAAATGCCAATATTCAGGATTCAGATCGCATAACTTTTGCCTCACACCATATGATTGGGGAAGCCCAATTATGGTACCATTCTGAAACGGAGTTAATGCAGTTCTCCTCATGGGCTGCCTTCAAAAAAGAGTGTTGTCTCAGCTTCGGGCCACCACGCAGCATTAATGCATTAGGTGATCTTAAACAATTGTTTCAAGCAGGCCGGCATATCGATGAGTATGTCAAAGACTTTCGAACACTGTTGGTACGGGCAGGCACAGTACAACCCAACCAGCGAGTAGATTTGTTTACCGGTGGATTGGATGAAATAATCCGTATAGATGTGGAGCGCACCAAACCAACGACTCTGAATGAAGCTATCAACACAGCCAGGGATCTTTCTCGCAAATGCCACCTGTTGGGCCTTTTGTCCTCCAAACCTAAACCTCTGCACACCAGTACACAAATTGCCCCGTCATCCGCCCGTGTTCCATTACCCATACGTCCATCACCCAACCGACAAAAGCCCAAATTTAAATTCCTCACACCCGAACAAAAGGCCGAACGCGTAGCCAAAAACTTATGCTACAATTGTGATGAAAAATATTTTCCAGGTCATAAATGCCGACACCTCTTTATGCTATGGACATTAGAGGAGGGTGAAGAACCACCTGCTTTGGAGGATTACACGGAGGACTCCCCGGCATTCAGCTTGAACGCAATCTCCGGGGTGACAAAGGGGAATATGATGAAAGTAAGGGTCAAAATCGCAGCCACTGTTATCGTCGCACTCTTGGACTCGGGCAGTTCAGACAACTTCATCAACGCTGAGACAGCGCGTGATTTGGGACTCCGAATGACACCGCTTAAGGACCTCCGCGTGCGAGTGGCAAATGGGGATTGTTTGTCTGCTTTAGGTGTATGTGAGGCAGTCACTTTCACCAAGGGACACGACAGTTTTTCAGCAACATTATTTGTGCTTCCTTTGGCTGGGTTTCAGATGGTTTTAGGGGTGAAATGGCTGAGAGAATTGGGCCCTATAACCTGGGATTTCAACTCATTGCAGATGACTTTCTACCACTGCAACACTGCAGTAACCTGGACAGCAGAAGAAGGATGCCTTTTCCCTGCTCTGCATGCTATTCCACCGCCAAGTTCAAATGCAGACGTCTTAGAGGGATTGCTTGCCCTCTTTGGTGACATTTTTTCTGAAGTTACGGCGCTGCCACCAGCACGGGAGTGCGATCATCGCATAATTTTGCAATCCGGACCAGACCCTGTGGTTGTAAGACCATACCGTTACCCACAGCTCCTCAAAGATGAGATAGAAAAACAGTGTGCGGATATGCTTCATCACGGCATCATTCGACCTAGCAAGTCTCCATTCTCATCACCATGTTTGTTAGTCCGAAAACATGATTTGTCGTGGCGGTTTTGCGTTGACTATAGGGAACTAAATGCCCGAACAGTTAAAGATAAGTTCCCTATACCTATCATTGATGAATTGCTTGATGAACTACATGGCTCCAAATTTTTCACAAAGTTGGATTTGCGATCCGGTTATCACCAAGTTAGAATGCACCCCGAAGATGTTGAAAAGACGGCTTTCCGGACTCATCATGGCCACTTCGAATTTTTGGTGATGCCCTTCGGCCTTTCTAACGCACCATCCACATTTCAATCTTTGATGAATGAGGTCTTCGGTCCCTACCTGCGGAAGTTTGTATTGGTATTCTTTGACGACATTTTAATATACAGTGCTTCTTGGGTGGAG